AAGGCCAGGACCCTGTAAATGTTTACTTCTCCAAGCTTAAGATTTTTTTAGATGAGCTACTAAATTATGAGAACATTCCTAATTGCACATGTGGAGGCATGAAGACTGTAATTGAAAAACAACAAAGGGATTGGATTATGAAGTTCTTAATAGGGCTAAATGAATCCTACAAAGAAATCAAGGCTCAGATTCTGCTAATTAAGCCGTTTCCTAGTCTAAATGAAGTATATTCACTGGTTCAATAAGAAGAAAAAAGGTGTGAAATATCTAGTCCAAGTTTTGGTAATTCTGATCCTATGGCTTTTCTGAGCAGCAGAAATTTCAGAGAAGGAGGAAGCTAAAACTTTCCATTACAGAAAAAAGACAAGTATTATTGCACTCATTGCAAAATCACTGGGCATTCCCTTGACAGATGTTTCAAGGCAAATCCAAACAGGCCAGTGTGCGCTTACTGTCAAATACCAGGACATGCGGCAGATAAGTGTTACAAGCTTAATGGATATCCACCAGGGCACAGGCTTAATGATAGAGGGAAGGCTGCTGTTAACATGGTTTCTATAGGAACAGCAGCAAATCAACAGGTGGTGAAGGACAAAAGCTAAGTATCCTTAAGTCAAGAGCAATATTCTCAACTCATGGCACTCCCCAGACCAACAACAAGCTCTCACAATCCAATCCTTCATCAAACAATGAGCAAACACCTACTAATTCCTCTTCACCTGATGATTTCACTCATACAATGTCTGGTATACCCTTAAGCTTAACTGTTTTTCATCATAAACATGGAAGTATTTCTGAGATCCCATGGATCCTCAACACAGGAGCCACAGATCACATGATCTGCTCCACTTCATTCTTTACTTCTATTTAAGCTAAAGTCTCTTACTTTGTGACTTTACCAAATGGAGAAAATGCACCAGTCACACACATAGAGATTGTCAAAATTTCAGAAACCACCACTCTACATAATGTCCTTTGCATTCCCAGTTTTACTTTTAATTTAATCTCAGTAGAAAGACTTACTCGATTTTTGAATTGTTGCCTTATTTTCTTCTCTAACTACTGTTATATTCAGGAGCTTTTGACTTGGAGAACGACTGGAATGGGTGAGGTGAAAGATGGCCTATATCATATGATGCAAAAGCAAGTTCCTCCTTCAGCCTTATCAGAAGCTTTTAAACAATTCAAGTGTCTAACTTCATATTCTGCTTTTTCAGTTAATGATCGAAAAGAATTTGATTTATGGCATTACAGATTGGGCCATTCATCATACTCAAATTTCAGTCCTAATAGAAACAACCATACATCTTCATCCTCTAGCATTAATCATTGTTCTATTTGCCCTCTAGCAAAACAACACAGATTACCCTTTAGAATTAGCCATCATAGAACAGAAAGATGTTTTGAGTTAATCCATTATATGGGGACCTTGTAACGAATTGAGTAGAGATGGCTCCAAGTATTTTTTTATCTATTGTCGATGATTTTAGTAGAAGTACATGGATTTATATGTTAAGACTAAAATTTGATGCTACTACTATCCTACAGGATTTTTGCACCATGATTGAGACTCAATTTGAAGCTAGAATTAAAACCATCAGGTTTGATAATGGGGGAGAATTCAACATGACTGAATTTTATCTAAGAAAGGGAATCATACATCAAAGAACATGCGTGGAAACACCAGAACAAAATGCGGTTGTAGAGAGAAAGCATCAACACATTCTAAATGTTGCAAGAGCCTTGAAATTTTAGAGTGGAGTCCCTTTGAAATATTGGAATGATTTTGTGTTAACAGCTGTATACCTGATAAACAGAACACCAATCCCTATTTTAAACCACAAAAGCCCCTTTGAAGTATTGTTTCAAACCAAGCCTAGCTATGATCATTTAAGAGCTTTTGGATGTCTTGTTTTTGCCACCACTCTTGCTAGTGGTAGACATAAGTTTGATCCAAGGTCTAGGAAGTGTGTCTTCATTGGTTACCCTTTTGGAATCAAAGGATATAGATTACTGGATCTAGAAAGTAAGAAAGTTTCGTCTCAAGGAATATTGCTTTCCATGAGAACATATTTCCTTTCAAAAACCTTAAACATAATACCAACATCCCTTTAATCGTTTTTGATCATCTGAGCTTCACACAAAATCTCAGAACCTCTGATGAATCTACTATTCCCTCAATTTACCATATATAGAATTCCCCAACTATGAAGAAAACATTAACAATGATATGCTACAATTTTCCAGTGATAAATTGGAACCAAACCAACCTTTTGATAACTTGGAACCAAGCCAAAATCCTAATAACTAGCAACCATATCAACCAACTATTACTCATCTACCTCGCAGATCTATCAGAAATCGAAAAGTCCCTATTCACTTGCAGGACTTTATATGTCAACAGGTGTCTTCAACTCACCCATCTCAGAAGCTCATCACCAACAAAAGGGAGGTGAATATTGCGGTAGTATATTTCCTCTCAGTGATAGCATTTCTTATGACAAACTATCCACATCTCATCGTAGTTTTGTAGCTTCAATAACAAACCATCTTGAATCAAAAATTATCAAGATGCCATAACTTTCCCTCAATGGTGTGCTGCCATGAAAGCTGAGATTGAGACTCTAGAACTTAATGACACTTGGATTTTAACCAACCTACCATCTGGTAAAGAAGCTATAGGATGCAAATGGGTGTACAAAGTCAAATATAATGCAAATGGAAGTGTTGAAAGGTTGAAATCACGATTGGTAGAAAAATGATACACTCAATAGGAGGGGCTTGATTACCATGAAACCTTCTCCCATGTGGCTAAGCTAAACACCATTAGGACTTTGTTGGCAGTATCATCGATCAAAGGGTGGAGCTTGTACCAATTCGATGTGAATAATGCCTTCCTCCATGGTGACCTAAATGAAGATGTCTACATGGAACTGCCACCTGGTTACTCCAATGATAGGGCAAATAAAGTTTGCAAATTACACAAGAGTCTATATGGATTGAATCAGGCTTCGCGTCAATGGTATTCCAAGCTTTCCAACTTTGTCATTGAGCAAAGATACATTCAACCAAAGGTAGACTACAGTCTATTTACTAAATCATCTGGTAACTCCTTCACTGCCATTCTAGTATATGTAGATGACATAATTATGGTTGGAAATTGTGTTGATGCAATCAACAAGCTTAAAGCCTCTCTAAACGACAAGTTCAAAATCAAAGACCTAGGAATGTTGAAATATTTCCTAGGCATTGAAGTTGCAAGGTCTGAACAATTTACATATGCCAGAGGAAATATGCCATAGATATCTTGGCAGATTCAGGCACCATTAGGTCAGGACCTGCTAGAATCCCACTTGACAGAATGTAAGACTATTTGCAAGTATTTATTGGTTCGCAGCAATACTACAAAGGCTACCCAGAAGTCTTTGTATCTCGAAAATTATTTCCATATATTCATCTGTCAATAACAAGCTCATATTCTAAGGCAATTTGTAAGATATAGCCTACTTGACAAATTCTTTTTCAAGTCTGGTCAGCATATAAATATATGACTAAGATTGGGGGGACTATTTGTTATCCCTATTAATTGCGTGATATATACGTGGCGGAAGGACCTTGCATTGGACGAGTTGGCATTGATTAAATAAGCTAATTAAATTAGGTCAATTGAATAAAGAAATCTCATCTTGGCTTGGGCTCGGCCCATTTCCCTCCTCTATATATGCACGCTCATTTGAGTTCAAGGTAAGTTTTGACTTCCTCTAGTTAAATCCCCCCCTCCTATTTCTCTTGCACTCCAACAATTGATTTGGCCGTCGGAGTGCAAATAATCACCAAACCTTTTTATTGGTGGGTGACCTTTGCATCTAATGGCGTGTTCATTGTGTAGGCAGAGCTTAGGTGAACGGGGAGGTGGCCAGAGTCTAGTTGATCATATGATCGATTGACTTTTATGTCAATAGTACCTTCAACGCCAATGATATAGTCCTGTTTTGGTCTATTGGAAGAGATCAAAACTATTGGGTTCACCAAAAAAACCCTAGAGGTTTGAAATAAATTAGGTTGATTTCTTGGGAAATCACTCTGAATATCTTCCATTTTGTTCGGGAAAGAGGATTTGTCCAGGTATGACATTTGGTATAGTAAATATTGAGTTTCTTTTAGCTCAACTTCTTTACCATTTTGAATGGAATCGTCTCTAAATCTAATGGTATAGATATGACTGGAGTTGAAGGAATAGGTTGTATCAAGAAAAAATAACCTTCACTTGATTGCCACACCATATGATCCTTCATTCGGCAATACATTTCAAGATTAGGATACGAGTATGTTGCAAATTATCTTCAGTACCTAATGATTATATAAATTGAGCGTGATAATATGAAATAATCACCCTCAAGGCATGAAATTTGAGATAAATTGATTATTCAATAAACTTATATCTATCTTAATACGTGTGCATCAACTATTTGTTATTCCAATGGAGTAGCCCTCAAGAAAACATTATTATATCTTATATATCCTTTGACCAAATCCATTCTTCAAGTTCTTAAAAGAACTCCAACTTGCATGTTAAGACGCGGTTTGGTTTTGACCAAAAAACAAATTTTTTGTTTTTTGATAAAAGGTAATGTTAAAAGCTAATAAAAAGTTATCTATCTCATAAAACGTGTGTTTCAAAATGAATTTCAAAAAGCTGAATTTTTAAAAAATGGGGACCAAACAATGACCAATCTCTTTCAATTTGCAATTCTCATTTGAGGATGACCAAATCATTTCAATTATATAGAGAGCTTCATCTTCCATTTTTTTCATTAGAATGCTTGTAATTTTTCTTGGAAACTGCTGCTACTTAAAATAATTTCATCAAACTGTCTTATTAGCAAAAGTAGATTTTTCTTCCAGAGACTTTTCAATCTCTTCATTAGTTTCGAGCACTACTTGGATGTTAGTGCTCGACACCCAACTGCAGCCAATTATTTTACAAGAAAGTTAACAAAATGGCAGAAAACTTGGATAAATCGGGAGGAGAAAGAAGGGTTCAAGAATCCATGGAGATCACATTGAGGCCAATAGAATTATCGGATGCAGATGATTTCATGGTGTGGGCAGCAGATGATAAGGTAACAAGATTTTGCCTTTGGGACACTTACACTTCCAAAGAACAAGCACTTAACTATATCAAGAATTGTGCTATTCCACATCCATGGTTAAAGGTCATCTGCATCGGCAATCGTGCAATCGGGACAATTTCAGTGACTCCAGGTTCCGGTTTCGACCGGTGTAGAGCTGAGCTTGGCTATGTACTGTCCTACAAGTATTGGTGCAAAGGGATTGTCACTAGGGCTGTAAAAATGGTGGCTTCAACAATATTTAACGAGTGGCCTTATTTGGAGAGACTACAGGCCATAGTGGCTACGGATAATGAAGGGTCACAAAGGGTGTTGGAAAAGGCAGGATTCCAAAGGGAGGGTGTCCTTAGGAAGTATAGCGTTATCAAGGGCAAAACTAAAGATGAGGTTATGTTTAGCCTTTTGTCAACTGATTCTTTTGTCTAAATTTTATTGTCTACTTTGAATCTATGTTCCAGAAATCTACGTGTTGACGGGTTCTCGACTCATTCTGATAGTTACGATCAAGTTGTTTTTTAAGGATTTAGTTTGATTGAAGCTTTAAATAGATGTTATACCGAACATAATGGCAAAAGAGAATTCATTTAACCTAAGCTCCAATTTATGTGAATAAAACTTAGTTTTTTATTATACTTTCGCTGATACCATCTCGTCTAAATTCCAGTTCTATTTTGAGTTTATTAAGGATTTATGAATGAACTCTTGAAGTAGGGACAAAGCTGAAATATACTCCACGAACCTCGTCCAATACTGATGAAGTAAAAGCTACATGCGAAGGAAATTAAAAGGCTCACGCCAAGTAGGCGAACCCATCCCCACCTGAGCCAGGAAAGAACTATTATCAAAATGCCGTGAATAAAGGGCTAACACATGACATACACATTAATGAAAAATAACGTGATAACGGAATCAATTATGAATTAGTCAATGAAAAGCCATTTTTCCTACATAAACAAATTACCCCCAAATATTTGGGGAGAAATCTATAAATACCCACTCCTTCACTCTCACATAGCTATTTTTTCTCTTGCTCCGAATTTGAGCATCGAAACCAGATCGTTTAGGAGGAGAAAATCATAAGTAGGTGAGACAATTTGTTTATTAACATTTTACCATCAAGAAATTGATGCCATGTGGAAAACTAAGCCAAGCGAACCACGGAATTCTACGCTTCGGTCGAGAAATACTTGAGATCTAAAGAAATGAGCCAAGCAAAAGTAAGCCTAGCTTTAGCTGAAATCTAGGACAATGAAAATCAGAAGATTAGAGGTGTTCTAATCAATGTAGAGGCAACCTTAGTAGCGGGAGCTATTCGGAGGATGACTAAGGATCTCAGAGCACTGATGGCATAACACAGTACTCTGTGTGCAAAAATACAATGCTTGAAAAATAAGTATGCTGGAAAAGGTAAGCGCAAAACTAATCTGCAATCATTGACTTCTATAATTAAATCTATAGAGCCTAGAATTAAAATTTTAGGAATCGATGATGAAGTGGTCATGATCCAACAATAATAGTGGGAAATGTTTTCACCGCATACTTCTAGACAATGAAAGCACAGAAAACGTGTTGTATGATAAGGCATTTAATCGAATACATAAATATAACCCTCGGATGCCTGTGCTGGAACCTCGTCACTTCACCCGGTCCTTTGCAATCATGCCACTCTATTGGTAAAGATAGGCATACCATAGATATATGAATTTCGAAATCATTAAGGATAAATCAGCATACGACAAAAAATCTTCGGAAGGTTTGACAGGAAAAGGGCAAATATAATCATCTACCTCCGTCAATCGTATGTTAGATATTCTACGAAGAAAGTCAAAGTAACCATAATGTATAGACATGTAGTCTTTTACGGGAACCATGAAAGTTTTAAAAAAAAAGGAGACATGAGAGCTCCAAAAAATATAATCGCCACAGTTGAAATGAGCAATCCCAAGGATAAACTGGAGATTGATAACTCTATTGACCCCCGCATAACTGATTGCATGTTAGAAGCGGCTACGATGGAAGAGTTAGAAGGTTATTATGTTAGCTTAGAAGATAAGTGCAAAGCTCTGGAAATTGGCAGGAAATTGAGCAAGCCTATGAAAGGATTGCTAAAAAGCTTCCTACCCACAACGTGGATGTGTTCACCTAGAAGCACATTGATATGGTGGGAATAGATCCCAAAGTCGCCTACACACTCTAAAAATTGATCCAAAGATCAAGCCCAAGATGCAAAAGTATCAGCCTATGAGCACAGAAAAATATGAAGCATTGAAAAGCATTTTGGATAAGCGATAGGAGAATGTTTCTATCCACAAAGCTCAATACCTCATGTGGTTGTGTAATTCGGTCCTTATACCAAAAAATAATGGAAAATGGTGAACGGCCAAGATTTCACGGACCTGAATAAATCTAGCTCTATAGACAGCTTCTCATTTCCCAAAATTCATTAGCTAGTGGATGTAACCACGGGGCATGAGCTGCTAAGATTCATTGATACGTATTCGAGGTATAATCAAAATCCCCTTTATGGACCTGATGAGGAACATACCGCGTTCGTAATGGATTTGGGATTATACTGCTATAAGGTAATGCGGTTTGGGCTAAAAAATGTGAGGACTACATACTCAGGGCTAGTGAACAAAATGTTCGCCAACTAGATACGAAAAATGATAGAAGTATACATCGATGACATGCTTGTGAAAGCCTTCAGGCTGAAGACCATTTGAAACATCCGGAAGAGGCTTTCAACATATTGTGAAAATACTGGACGAAACCCAATCCGCTTAAATGTGCTTTCGGAGTTAAATTCAAAATGTTTCTCGACTACATGATCAATCGGCGAGGTATTGAAGTGAAACCTGACAAGATTTAGACCCTCGTAAAAATGGGATCCTCATGTAAACCAATAAAAAGCCTAATAGGATGGGCATTCGCCCTAAATAGGTTAATACCATGAGGAACGAACAAATGTTCCCATTTCTTCTAAGTTTTGAAATGAGGAAAAAAGTTTGAATAGAGCAACGAATGTGAGCAACCATTTCAAGCTTTAAAAGATCATTTAAGGAAATCCCCCATTAGCTAAACCCGAAAACGGGGAGAAACTGTTACTATATTTGGCAGTTTCTAAAGTGACAGTTAGCTCAATGCTGGAAAGAGATTATGGGCAACAATAGCTACCAGTCTGCTATATAAGTAAAGTCATGCAAGGATCAAGGCGAGATATTCGAACATGGAAAAGCTAGCCCTTGCCTTAGTTATATTGTTGCGAAATTTACGACCCTATTTCCAGAGCCTTAGCATTGAAGTGTTTACTAATTTCCCACTCAAGTGAGTACTACAAAAGCTTGATTCATCGAGGAGGCTAATGAAATGGATAGTAGAGCTGATGCAATTCGAAATAAGCTACAAAAGGACAATCTACAATCAATGCACAAGCAATGGCTGAACAGAGAACGTGGAAATTAATCGTAGACGGATCGTTCGAAGAAACTGATTTTAGAGTAGGTGACAAGCCTAGAAGTCTAAATTGAATTGTGTATTGAGGTTCGTTTTTAAAGAAAGAAACAATGTGACTGAATATGAAGCTCTACTGGCGAGCCTACGATTGGCAAGAGAAATGCAAGCTCAACATATTAAAGTAAAAAGTGATTCAGAGCTGATGGTAAATCTGGTGAACAGAAAATTCATAGTCAAGGATAAAACAATGGCTGCTTATCTTGCAAAAGCCTTATGGTCACTTCAGTGCTTTAACAAATTTGAACTCGCCCAAATCCCAAGCATGAAGACGCCTTATCAAAATTGGCAAGTTCAAAGGAATTGGAACTATATAAAATAGTACCCATAGAATTGTTGTCACAACCGTTAGTTGGCTAGAAAGAGAGGTCACCTTAAGATAAGACCTCATGGATGTAAGACATCATTTCTTATCTTAAAATTGGAAAGACAAAAAGCAGCGTATAAGGGCTGCAAGATACATACTACAAGGTGGCATCTTATTTAAGCGAGGATATACACTCCCTTTACTTGTTGACTTTGATCAAGACGAGGAGATTAAAAGCCTCACGCAAAGTAGCCGAATCAATTCCCGGCCGGGCTAGTAAAGATCTATCATCAGATCGCAAGGGAAATGCTTAACAAGTGAATTAGGGGCAAATAACATGAGTTAATGAATGGAACGTGATAATGAAATCAATTATCAATTAGTCAGTAAAAAGGTTGCCATCTGTCATTTTTCCTAAATGACCGCAAAAGGTTGGAGAAAAATCTATAAATACCCCTCATTCAAAGAAAAAAGCATGCATTTCAAATATTTTCCTCTCAAATTGATATTTTCCTTCTTACTCCAAGTTTGAGTATCGAAACCAGAGAGTTTTGGAGGAGAAAAATCATAGAGAGGTGAAAGAATTTGTTGATTCAATTTTTACCATATAATTCGATCTCAAATTTATTAAAAATAAACTGGTCTTTTGTTCGCCTATTATCAATTGACTGGAACTTCCTCTGCATCGGTGAAAAAATTTAGAAAAGTCATAGTTTTCTTCATTTGCTGGAACCCGCCTGTCAAAATAATGCCTTGCTCACCGCTCCAATAATATATAAATCAAGACAAAATATCATAGTACATATATTTTCGATAGAAGTATGAATCTTATTTATTAATAGTACATAATTCCGTTCAATACTAATTAATGTCAATCTAAAGTAGTAAGCACTTTCAACTATATTTTCGAAAGAAAAAAGGATCAAGAGCTAGGAGCATATTTATTTCATCTTTATTTGTTGTAAGATTTACTCTTAACATGATCCACAAGGGTTCATTGTCATGGAATTCAAGCATTAACTCAAATGCTTGTTGAATTTGTTGGGCTATGATACCATATTAAAAATTGAAATTATATTTCAAAGGGTCAACATTATTGATAAAAATAGCAAAAATCTTTATATGTTGATTAATATTTTTATATATAACCTATAGGAGATTTATCCTTAATATGCCTTCATTAAATGTTAGCTATTTGAGTTTAATGGATTCTAATGTCATATTAAGACTTTGAGATCATCACAAAATGTCAATTTTTTAATAGAACTTGTCCAAAAATTTATATATTATTTATTTGTTAGGTTCAAATTGCATTGACAAAGTTTCATGTCCAAAATGTTGTTTTATCGAGTTGTAATTAGGGTTAAATTGTCGAGGGATGGGAGTGTCTTAAGGATGTAATCAAAGTCAACTCAAGAAGATCAAGACGAGCCAAAAACTGCCAAGGGTAAAAACTATCAGGGATATCAAGAGGAAGTCTCAATTTGTTAGGTATCATGTGTTTAGACATATTAGAGCTGAGTGTCCAATTTATAAGAAAACCCTAGATAAGGCTATAAGTGTTACTCTCACTAATGATGAGTCTAGCTCCGATGATAAAAGTGAGAAT